GAGCCCGTCAGAGTCCTGGAAGCCCCTTGAGAGCCCTCTACTGCAGTGCCTGGGGGGCGGGGCGGGGGGGGAGCGCAGGCAGTTTCTGCCTCACCCGGAGACACTCGCCTTTTGTCTGCTCTCAGTGTTTCCTTTCAGTAAAGGAATCTCTAGGTTGGTTGGTTGGTTTGGGGGCGTGTTTGTTTAAAGCTTAAAGGACCGTTATCATAGATCATCTCCCACGGCCCATTCTAACAAACATTCCTTAGTTTTGTTATTGGAAAACTTCTCAAGTTTTCGTTACCGTCTTTGCACCACAGGAGGTAAAGGAAAATAATGTTAGAAATGGAAGTGGCAGTTAGTGGTTGTCAGTGCCGGTTAAAGACGTTGTGAAATTCTCTGGAAGGGTGTTCTAAGGACCCGCTTTGACCTGAAATGGTGCAAGGCGGCTCTGATCCTGCTTGACGGAGTTTTTTGTCATGTGGGATCAGGGATCTGACTGACGGCTTCTGAAGCCGTGCGATTCTGTTTGTGGGATCCAGTGTACATGCACCCTCCGGAAGAAGAGGCTGGTGGCGTGGCAGGGCTGCGCCCTGGGAGGAAAGCCACCCTTTCCGAGCTCGGTGCGGCTGTGACAGCGTTTGCTTGGGGAGACTACACCTGTGCCTGGGGGGCAAAGTCGGTTCATCAGCAGAGTCTCGGCCCTTCCTTCCCTGGTGATTTGTCGGAACTGGCGCTCTCAGGAGCCCGCACCCGCGTCTCTGGTCTTCAGGGTGCTCTGCTCCCGTCTGTCTGCGGGAGAACGTGCCGCTCCTTTTCCTTTTCCTTTTCCTGCGCACGTTTCTTTGCCCACACACTGCAGCCCCCAGAACACAGCCGGCGTGCTGCATCCCCTTGGCCCTCGATCTCACAGGGTCCGTGGACTTGTGCAGAGCTGGTTTAGTTTCAATCACACTCTTAAGTCTCTGATACTTCATCACTCCTATTCAAACTGGGAAACGTGTATCTGTATCAAGGGGACCCAAATCCTCTTGACTCCTTTACTGAACAGAACAGGAGCTCACTGTGTTTCTGCCGCGGGGACTCGGGCGAGGACTGTGAAGTCGGTGAAGCGGTTTTGTGAATAATTTTTAGGCCTGCCTCCCGCCAGCACTTTCTGGGGACAGGATGGACCCCCCCATGGCTTGGTGGACCACACCAGAGGGGAGGACCAGAGTCGCCCTCCCAAAAGGTGAGTGGAGTATCGGTGATGGTCATGGCTAACACCTGTGCGGCACCGTTCCCGTGCCCGGGACTCGACATGCCCCGTCTGAGACGAGGCGGGAGCAGCCGCAGCGAGGGGCTGCGGCATCGGCTCTGAGATCTGACGTCTTCGCCCTCAGTGTGTGCCCGCACCCACGAGCCCGGCTGCACCTTCCGTGCCGGTCAGCAATTAGGCATTTTCTCTAACTGTGTGATTTCCAAGTTTTTAATTCCCTGGCCAAAATGAACAGTTTTCATAAATTGCATCTTCTAAGCCTTTGCATATTTTCTTGAATTAATTACATGTTTCTGGCTTGCATAGCATCTGCAGGGTTCACTTGGGAGACAGCTGTGGGCTAGGAGAGCCACGGACAGCTCCTTGAGAGAGACACACAGTGTGTGGGGGAGGAAGAGACGTAGCCACGGGGGTGGGCAAGGTAGGAGGCACGGCGGACTGGGAGGTGGTGCTTGCCGAGACGTGGAGGCAGTCGGTGAATCTGTTCAGTTAAGGTGGGAGAGTCAGGCAGAGGCATGATGGGAAATGAGACTGAGCACTGCTTTGGTCAGATGGTGGAAGGCCCTGAATGCCAGGCCCTTTGCATGCCAGGCTCCTGCCTTGTGCCGAAGCAGAAAAGGACGCGGTGGTACTGAGGGCACCGGAGGGAGATGGAGACGGAGAAACCAGAGGGGGCGAGGCCTGCGGGTCTGGAGGCTGGGGTGAGAAGGACTGAGCTGGGGGGATCCGACCGGAAATGGAAAGGAGGATACGAGAGTAAAAGACCATGGTGTCAGGTCGTGCAGAGTTCCTGGGCAGCAGACAGGTCCCCACGCCGGAGCCCTCTGAGCCCTCTGAGCCCGGCTGCACGAGGCGGTGGACGGAAGGGAGTTCGGGAGAGAGCTGGTTCTCAGAGGGCTGGGTTCGCTGTGTGGAGCGCTGGGTTTGAGGCGGCACTGTGACGTCCCGACAGAGATACCCAGCCTGTGATTGGACATGCTCATTGGGTCAGAGCAGAAGAAGCCTGGGCACCATCCCTGTCAAGGTGATTGCTACACTCGGTGAGCAGGGAAGTCCCCAGGGAAGAGGAGACAACAGAACTGAGCGCATGGCAGAGCACAGATTTAGAAGGCACAGGGTGGAAAGGCCAGCAGAGGAGAGACGTGCAGAGCAGTCAGTGACGGGAAAACTGGGGGAGGGAGACGCAGAGAGAAAGGGTGGACAAAAGCAGGCCGTGCGGCCCAAGAGGTCTGGAGCAGGACTCACGGACCTTGGCACCGTCGGCATCTGGGGCCAGACCATTCTTTGTTACGGGGGCTGTCTCGTGCGTTGTTGCAGGTTTAGCAGCATCCTGATACCAGTAGCGTCCTGATGCCACTCACCAGACACCAGTAGCAACCCACCCTCCACTTGTGACAACAAAATACGTCCTCCGACATTGCTAAGGTCCCCTGAGGGGGAGACCGGCTCCAGCTGAGACGCACTGGTCTGGGAGGGTAAGAAGTACAGAAAGACCACTGGGGCTGCTAGAGCGCTGTTTGAGCGAGCAAGGCTGCAGAGAGCTGGAGAGGGGGAGGGAAGTGGCCGACACCGTGGCTGCCGTCCAGCAGGGTACGCGTCAGAGCACGAGGGACACGATCATGTGGTTTCAGCCACTAAACCGGCGGCGCCTTGTCAGAGCACCAGCAGGAGCCCAGCGCCCACTGCTTATCAGTAGAAAAGACAAATAACAGTTTTTAAATGGGTAACTCAGAGCTGAGGACCGTAGACATCTAGTAAATGTGGTCGAAAGTACTGAGTAATCCGGGAAATCAAATTTAAATGAGCTCTGTTTTGCCTGCGAGATTAGCAAACATTTTCATGGATATTGTCCACCCGGTGTTCCCAAGGACCTGAGAAAAGGGGCTGATGGGTCATCACCAAACAGGAAGCTGTTTCAGAGGGACATTGGCAGACTCCACCCAAATGAAAGGTTATGGTTTTGTGCCTACAACTGGAGTCTCTTACAGTGAGAGTATCTGTCAGTGTTACTTGTGAAACCTTTTCGTTCCATCAAAAGCAGCAGGGCCCAAGGGCAGGACAAGAAAGCCTAAAGCCGTTGACGAGTGGAGTGTCCGCGTGGCTGTGGCAGGCACCTGGCCGGCGACTGCCGCCGTGGCAAGAGTCCTCCCTTCCCTGCTGGCACCCCCGAGGCTCAGCGCCACCCCCTGTCGCGCACCGGCTGGGGCGGCGTCTGCCCCCTACCCCCCGGCAGGGTCCTCGGGGCTGTGTGGCTGGAAGCCGAGTCTGTCGTCACCTCCGCACGCTCCGCAGTGACGGCCTGGACTGAGTGCCGACCGTGAGAAGAGGCGTTTGTCACCGGACACGTTCCCGTTGCAGCAGCCGTCTTGGGGATTCGTCCGCCTTCCAACAAAATCCCAAAAGCACATGATCAGCCACTAGCACAGCTGCTCGGACCGGGGTTAGGGGCAACCGATGCCACTACTCCTGCCACCAAATTTTAGACGTTTACAGGTGCACGTAGCGGGGTTTGACCCAGAGGTGCCCCGTGCTCAGTGGGGCCCGTGAGGGGAGGCAAGGAGGTCTGGGTTTACTTAAGTTAGCCGACTCGCCGTCAGAGTCTCCTCGGCTCTGACTTCGGTCAGCCTCCGCGCCTGCGCCCGTGGAACCCCAATAAGGCCCCAGTTCCTGTCCCCTCACTGCACTGTCCGACTCCCCCAGTTCCTGCCCTCCCTCCGTGCAGGAGAAAACTGGGCGGCTGAATGGATGACTCTCGAAACACTCAGTTGTCCGCAAAGCCAGGCTCTGAGCAGCTGAGGCTTTGTTCCACGTTCTAAAAGAGAAGTGGAAGCTGGATGAGCCTGACGGGGAGCAACGTTTGCAGCGGGTTTACGTTCGTTCACGGGCGGTGAGAGTTCCGGGCGGGTCTCCGAAGACGATGGGGCGGAGCCCGGCCCGTCCTCTTCAGTCCTGAGCGTCGTCCTCGTCCTCGTAGCGTCGGAGCCTCCCAAGGGGCCGGCCCCGAGTCGCCTGCCTCTTGCTGCTTCATGTGACTTTTAGCCACATCTGTAACTCCGTTCCCGTATAAAACGTGGTTTTAAGTGCACCGGTTCTTTCTAGATGCAAATCCCGGTCTACCGCCCTCAGAGCCTTTCTGTACACCAGGGGTGTCAAACTCACTTTCGCTGGGGGCCACATCAGCCTCTCGGTGGCCTTCCAAGGGCCGAAGGTAACTTTAGCACTATATGAATGTAACTGCTCCTTCACTAGGGGCAAGGAGCTCTACATTCGGCCCTTGGAAGGCAACCGCGAGGCTGATGTGCCCCCAGTGAAAATGAGTTTGACGCCCCTGCTTTAGATTGAAAGAAGTTAGCACTACCTGGCTGAACACAAAAAGAAAAAAAAAAAAAACAATGCTCAAGATACTAGTATATACGATGATATTGACGTAGTTGGTATTTTTTAATGCTTCTTTTATATACAACAAAACCAAGCATCCTGGCTGCACCAGAGTCTTGAAAATTAAAAAGATTTGGACAGAAAAACACTTTTTTCTAAGGAAGGGTAATTATTTTAATAGCTACCCTCAGGAAAACGCAGATGAGGGTACAACTGTCCCAAATTAACAATTAGATACATCTCAGGGACACAGTAGGACTCAGTCCCCTATCTCCAAATGCGCAATCTGCCAGAAACAGAGTGAACCTGGTTACGGGAGCGCGTGCTCCTACCACCTGCCCCGAAACGCCTCGCTGAGTCAGCTCCTCCGTGTCTGTCCCTGCAGCGCGAACCTGTCCAAGGCCGCCTGGGGGGCGCTGGAGAAGAACGGCGCCCAGCTGATGATCCGATCCTACGAGCTCGGGGTCCTTTTCCTCCCGTCGGCATTTGTAAGTTCACTTTTTTTTTTTTTAAGATTTATTTATTTATTTTTAGAGAGTGGGAAGGAAGGGAGAAAGAGAGAGAGAAACATCAGTGTGTGGTTGCTGGGGGCCATGGCCTGCAACCCTGGCATGTGCCCTGGCTGGGAATCGAACCTGCGATATTTTGGTTCACAGCCCGCGCTCAATCCACTGAGCTACGCCAGCCAGGGCTGTAAGTTCACCCTTGAAACCGCCTGCCTGTCACGTGTGAGACGAGGTGGGTTTTGGGTTGCCTTCCAGAGTCAGGAGAGGCTGGAGGCTGCAGAGCCGGGCACTCACCCCAAGCCCGTGCTCCCAATGGCCGGCCTCCAGGAGTGCACCCCGTCCAGGAGGGAGGTGCTACTCTGGGTAACGTCAGCAGTGTTCACGTGGATGTCGGGAAACAGGCGTGGAGATTTACTCGGAGGCAGTGACCAGTCCCCAAAGAAATGGCTCAGCCAGGTGTGAGCCGTGTCAGGCTGGGGTGCTGCCTTTGGAAGCAGGAGGGCTGGTCGAAGGGGGCTCAGGGTTGAGGGCAGGTGGGCAGGGGGAGAGCTCACGGGAGGGGACTGGCAGGAGCACACGCCGGGAGGCAGGGAAGCTCACGGCTTCTGCGAGAGGTGGCGTCCAGGGGGCCGCAGGGGGCCGCAGGGGCCAGGTGCCATCAGACTGCCGGGTGGGCTGCCTGGGACGACCTGGACTTGGAGGCCGTGTCCCTCCCGAGGTGTCCGGCGCAGCCAGCTTGTGTCTGCAGCTGAAGCCCCAAGCGGCTAGCTTCCATGTAGGACTGCAGTGGACACGCCGTATTTTCCTTTTTATTCTGTGGTTTTTGTTTTGAGAGAGAGAAACATCGATTTGGTGTTCCACTTATTGATGCATTCTTGTTGGTTCTTGCAAGTGCCCTGACCAGGGACCAAGCCCACAACCTTGGCCTGTCAGGGTCACACTCCAGCCAACTGAGCCACCCCACCAGGGCTCAAGCCATAGGTTTCTCGACACACTAGAATCCCTCTTGGTTCACAGGCACGTTCCCACTGTAAGAGGCACCGGGGCCCCGAGACCACCCGCCCACCTTCCCCCGTCACGGGCACGCTGGGCTCACACTCCCTCGTCGGTCAGAATGGCCCTCACGATGGGGTGGCTCGTGCTTTATTTTTCCTCTTTCTTTTCTCACCACCTGCTGTGGTTGAGTGTGTCACACACACACACAAACACACACACACACGATGCAGCTCCGCTGTAAACCACTCGGACTGGACCTGCAGATTCTCTCAGGGAACGCTGGGTCCTTAGGCTTCAGTCCTGACCACGCAGTGCGTGCACCCCTCCCCGCCCTGCCCAGCGGGCTCCCCACACCTCCGTTTCTCTCACGCCTGCTCCAGCGAGAGCTCTCTTCCTTCCTCTCCTCCCCACACCAGTCTCCAGCCATCCTTCCCCATCTCAGAGGGCGTCGCTACAAAACTGTCCCCCAGGCCTCCTCTATGGGTAGTGTCGTAAGATTCCAGTACTTGTTGTTTCCTACAGAGTCGAATGCAAATCCCAGCGCAGCTTGCAGCTGACGGTTTCCACTTCCACAGCCCGCAGGTGGACGACCACCCGTGTTCTACTGTAGGCCAGGACGCAGCTTCCCACAGGTTCCGCCGATGAGTGCGGTGCGGCCCGCAAACCGCAGCCCCTCGCCGGCCCCTCCTGTGATCTTTCAGCCTTGTCTCAGGGGAGCGGTAGATTCCCAACGCAGGGTGATAGATACTATTCCGTACTTCGGTGTGATTAGAGCGACTGCAGCTTCGGACGGAGGCTAGGATTGCCTTCCAATAATAACTTAAATAGTGGAATGGATTCCACGTCCCTCGGTTTGGCGTTTGTTGTCCACATTGGCAAAGTCCTACTCACGCCTCCCTGTCTCGGCCTGATCCCGCTTCCTGAAAACAGTAAGGAGGAAGGATGCTGCACTTTCGGGTCCGTAGACGCCCCCAGTTCTCACCTCGGCTGCTGTTCCCGACTGTGCACTAGACAAGGCTGCCACGGAAAATGGACGTGGTTGTGCAGACTCTCCCAGTCGAGTCTCTACTGGACTTACTTCTGCACTTTTAGAATAAGGAAGGGCCCCACTGCGGTGCGTTTTGGGTAACATAGAGGTTGGGGTATCGATAAAGAATAGAAAGAATAGACTCCACCCCCACCCCCCCACCCCGCGCATGCTGTGCCCACAGACTCCAGAGCCAGGCCCCAAGCAGGGCGGCCGTGTAACTGACACACGGAGGAGACGGCGGACTCTCTAGTCACCAGGGTTCTGGGGCCGTCTCACGACAAGCAGGCTGGCTCCACGGCACTGATAAGGACCCACAGACGCCACCATCCTGCCGTCACCCCCCTTCCGGCAGGCTGTCCGGGTCCGTGGGTGTCTTAAATGCCTTGGGCGAGAAGGTCCTGGCATTAGGCCCGTGGACAGTGCACAGGACTGTCCGGCCTTGCCCTCCCGAGGAGCTGATGGTCCTAAAATCAGATGGGCCCCTCGTACGAGAAATGTCACTGGCGTGAACTGGGTGCTGAGGCGCGTGAGGAAGGCGCCTGGCCTGCGTGAGCAGACCCCAGAGGGCTGGAAGGGGGCATTCGTGATCTTTTAGTTGCGCTTTAGAGAATCCAGCCTGAGCTTACGTAAGACCTCGGGAGGGGGTCTCGGGAGGGGGTGTCACAGGAGCCGCAGGAGAGAGGAACAGCCGGCACCAGGAGGCCTGGGGCCGGGGCAGCTTGGGGCTTCAGCCATGGACCACTTTGGGGGCTGCCGCCGCCGCCCGCAACTCCCCACGTGGCTTCTCTGCGCTGTTGCTGGCCGTCCTGCGCTTACAGCGAGGGCTCAGGCTCGGGTCTGCCCTCCACGCCTCTGTTCTCCCCCAGAGCCCCCCCCCCCCGCCCCCGCCATGGTGGGCCTGTTGCAGAGACGGGGCTGCCGTGAGCTAGGAAGCCACGCTGAGGGGCAGCAGCTGCCAGAGGGCCTCACCCATCGGGATGTGGACGGTGTGTTATCACAGTCTGTGCAAAGCGGTCTCAGGGCCCTTGGCGACAGAGGAGCCTTTGTCCTTAAGCTGCTGTGTCACTTGCTGCTCCGCAAAGCTTCTGGAAAACAAGTAGACCCTGGCGTGGCCTGCACAGAATTAACATTGACGATCTGACTGTGAGGGCAGCCCGGAGACGTGTGCCATGAGGTCACTTGTCATTGTGCGGGGGTTGCGCAAGCACAGGACGAGGAGACACTTTGCTGGCGAGAGGCCGTTCGGCGGAACGACGCGGCTGTGCCCTCCTCGGCGTATCTCAGGCCTGGAACTGAACGTTCTGTCTGCAGGCATGACCTCGCAGGTGCTCGGCTGAGCTCCAGCAGCACCCGTGCCTCCTGCTGGGCGGGCCCTGGGAACCCAGCAGGAGTGAGAATGGGGTCTTTGTCCCCGGAAGCTCACGGAGAGCTAAGGAAACCGTTACTACAGTCTGTGATGAGACGGTGCGGGGTGGACAAGATACACGGGCTCCGAGAAGGGGGCCTGTGGCCTGCCGGGGCGGGGGGGGGGGGGTGCTTGGGGGAGGCTCCTTTAAGGAGATCACATTTGACCTCATGTGATCTTGAAAAATGAGTATGAACTTAACCCACCACCCGGGGAGATGAGGCTTCCAGCCGGAGAGAACAGTGCAAGTTCCGGGTGAGAAGCAGCAAACCTCCGTGTGCCTGGGGAGGGGCCGGGGCGCTCTGGCTGGAGTCGTCTTCCGAAAGACACACCGTCCCACACACATAGTGGGCAGCCATCCGCTTGTTGGGGTGTTTTTTTTAAAGGTTTTATGTATTTATTTTTAGAGATAGGAGAAGGAGAAGTAAAGAAACACCAGTGTGAGAGCCAAGCATCAGGCAGCCGCCGCCTCTCGTGAGCACCCCTCCCAGGGGCCGGGCCGTGTCAGACCTGCGACCCCTCACTTCCCAGGGCGGCAGGCGGCCGACCCACCAACCACACTGGCCGGGGCGGGAGCCCTCAGTTTTGTCAGCAGGATTACTGGTCTCTTCCGGTCAATTTTCAGAGAATTTGAATCTTATAGAACATCTCCAATTGTGATTAAAATTTAGTTTATATTATTCAAAGGGTAAGGGCACTGGAGATGTCATCCAAGTCATCGTAACTACTTAACCACACTATTATAAAAGCCTGAATGTCACTGAATCATTGTTACCCTTCACCCCGCTGTCCTGGCTCAGTGTGGAGGACGTCGTCCCTCATGCCTTCTCTCTTCCCCCTTGTCTGTGCGATCACCAGGCTCTGTCATTCCTGACTCTTTAATGCCGCTGGATGAGCTGTCGTTTCTGGCTCGTTTCTGGCCGTGGCTGCTGCCGCTGCGTCCAGGGCACGTCAGCTCCTGCGGCGGCGGCCTCTCACCCCACTTCCCTCTGCCTCCCGCAAGCCGCTCTCCACCCTGCGGCCGGAATGTCTTTGCAGACCACAGACCGGACGGGTCGCCCGTCTGCTTCCAGTTGGCGGGACGGAAGCCAGGTGCTGGCACGGCCTGCTTCCCCCTTCGCGCCCTGGCGCCTGACTCCTCAGTCCTGACCTCTGCCTTCTCCCTCCCGGCCCTCGTGTCCAGCCGTGCAGAACCACCGGTTCTCCTTAGGAATCGGGCCCACCAGGCTAGTCGGGGTCCTGCAGAGAAACAGCCGGAGGGGCGTATAGATACACAGAGGAGGAGACTCATTTATGGTGAGGAACTGGCCCCCACGACTTTGGAGGCCAGGAAGCCTCCCAGAGGAAGCCGCGCCTCCTGCAGGCTGGGGAGCCCGGGGAGCGGAGGGGAGCGGACGGCGTGGTGTTCGCTGAGTCTGCCGGCCCAGGAACCAGGAGAGCCGGTGCTTCCACTCCCGGTCGGGGTTCAAGAGAACATCCCAGCCCAGCAGCGGGACAGCAGGTTCGCTCTTCCCAGGCCTTTTTGTTCAATTCCGGCCCCCCACTGACTGG